AAAATTTTGAGTTTGAATTATATAAAAGAATGAGAAATGTTTGTCATTTGTTGAGCAGTTTCTAAAATCAAAATAGTAATGATAATAACTTGGGTTCTTCACAAACTAATTCCCAGCCTCGCAAGTCCATTTCAAGGTCGCTCTTACTCCAATAATTCAGAAGCAGTTTTTCCATGGATCAGACGGGCGATTCTGAAATCTCGTGGTAGAATCCTGAAAGCAAAGGGCATCACAATTTCAGAAGTGGTCCTGTGTTGAGGAGGAAAAAGAAAGTGGTACATACAAAATAGTCTAGGTATAGAGAGCATGAGGTCGACTATACACGAACTGAATTAACTCTGCCTGTTTAGACATCCCGATGACCCACTCTTCGGGGGACGTAGGAGATGGGCATTAAGTTAGAATTTATGTGTAGGCCTAAGAGTCAGCCCTATAACAAAACCAGGACCCAAGTAGGTCTTCAAGTTCGTTTTGTTTGGGTTAGATGGAAGTTGGACCCATATCCATTGCTATTCAGGCACAGTTCTGAAGATCACCATTTTTTCTTTTTTTTCGAAGATCGCCATTTGACAAATGATGAGTTGCACCCCATGATGGGCTCTTTCCAGTTTTCCACGAGTTTATCTTGAACGGAAAGATCCAGACAAGGAGTCGGTAGAACCGAACCTTTTGGGGTCTAATGCTCCGTTCCTAATCTAAATATTTGGATAGTATCAGTTGGGTCAAGTACCAATAACTATTTAAATATTTATATTTATCCCTAATCTTAATATTTGGATAAAATCATTTGGGTCAAGTCTTATCAACTATTTAAATACTTACACTTAACTTGCAGACCCCTAATGCTTCTCCAGTCACATGGGTTAATCCATTTCCTCCTTCCCTTGTGATTACTCTTGTTAAAAAAAAAAAAGAAAGAAAAGAAAAGAAAAGAAAAGGAGTCGGTAAATGGAGCTGATTTGATTTTTGCTGTATGGTTAGGTGGAAGGTGCTTGTCTCGTAAAAATTGAAAGGGGTTCCACTGAATTTATGTTTTGCTTTGAAGGTACAAAGAAATCATTTCTGACAGGGACAACTAAGTGAAACGGTCAAGCAAACCATGACCAAAATTTGCAGACCGTAATTACTAAGTCTACAGACTCTTGTTTTGTAACCGAAGAAAGAAAATAACATAAATTTGTCAGTTTTACTAGCTTATAATGTAACCTCATAATTTGTAATGAATTTTTATTCAAAAATAATGTAAATTATCATATCTATTTATTTAATATTAAGTGATTCATAATCTTCGATAAACTTGCTTACTTTAACTTTAGAGTAGTATATATTTAATGACTATGTCGGCAATTCAAAATTTTTGCCACAGACCTTCAAACGTCATGGCTTCTCATCATTAGGTTAATGATTAAATGAAACAAGCCTAAAAGTTTGGAAGACGCAGATTTTGAATTGAACTCATGCTTGTTTCTGACGTACTTTTGTTATTGTGACTTTCCTTTTCCTATAGTTTCTCATGTTTAAAAGAAAATAAAGTTTAAGTCCATTACAAATACCAATTATTTAAATATTTCAATAATAATTTTTTTGTATAAAAGTAAAAATATTAAATTTAAATCATATATCATGTGAGTGAATTGTATTAAGAAATAATTAAAAAATTATCTCTATTATATAACTTAAGATTAAAAAAACTAAATCCACCCAATTTCAAAACATCAAGAAAATAAAAGTGAATGCACTAGTAGCTCCAGTTGGGTTAGTACTGTGCAGCAAAAACCTTGATCTATGCCAATGTTCAAGTTTCTATAAAAATAGTTGTAATATTTCTCCCATTTTTCTAAATTTCCCCTTGTTCAAAAAAAAAAAAACATGATTAGATCATGGAAACATGAACACTTTTCTTATGGGTGAGTTAGGAAACCAAATCAACCAAGTAAAACCCTATTTTACTTTCTTTTATTTTTTTTATGTGACATGGATAAAGTACTTTTGTTAAAGAGAATTCATTGATATTAGGATCAAAAGTCTTATCTTATTATCAATAAGGGTGAGGGTAAAGAGAGCCTGTTCTAGCCTTGAGATCAAGCCTAAAGGACACGTGTATGGTTGCTGTATTAAGGTAGTACAGCCATAAATATTTTCGACAATGCCTTAAACTAATTAATGTAATGCTTTAAGATATGTTGATTTGGCTACTGGGAAGTTGAGATGTGACAATCAAAAGCCAGCATGCAAATGGAAAAGATTAGAGACTCAGCAATCAAAAAGCACCTACCATTCCCAGAAAGACAATTGATTGGGATCTGGTGATAGCACACAC